AAACACCTCCTTTGATCATTACTTTCAAGAAACATGTTTGTTATTGCACAAAATACATGTTGAACTCTACAACAGCCAGACAATATTTTTTTAAGTAGTGGTGAGTCACAGTAACTGCACTCTTTTTGTTTGTTTTTCTTTAGGAAAAAACATACAACAAGGATATAAAATATACATGACATGTGCTTTGTAACTTATTTAAATGCAGCTGGCACCTATAAGGTAAACAACTCCCAATCAAAACAAAAACAGGGCGTCATCATACCTGGTCTTTTTCAATAGCATCCAGGAGCACTGTTCTCGCTTTGCTCACACTTTTCTGCAGCTTCAACAGATGCCTTGCCAGCTTCACAGCATAGAAGGACGCGTCACCCTCATTCTTCGCCGACTCCATGGCCTCCCGTAACAGGTCCTCCGCTTTATCCACTTGGCCATTGCGACGCTCCAGGCTGACCCTCCGAAGACAAACCATAGCCAGACCAGGAACTGCTGCCTCCAGAGACATCAGGATTTCTCGGGCTTCGTCCAGGTTGCCTGGGCAAAAAAAAACAATAAATTGAGCAAGACGGAGTTAACTTTATAGAAAGAATTCCAATCACATAAAACAAAGGTCAGCATTTTAGGGACGCCAAAAAAATACAGGTTCTATTTACTACTGAAGTAAAATAAAATAGTTTGGCCTTAAATAAACTTAAATCAACCCAAACATTTTGTTTTTGTGAATTAATTCTGTGAACTCAATAAAAATGAGTACTCTAAAACAATATAACATTCTATAACATTTAACAAACATTTAACAAAGTTTACAGTGTTGATCTTTCTTTATCATTTGTATGAAGATCTTCCCTCACCTTGTTGCTCCTCAAAGGCTGCCCACAGCAGGTGGATGGCTGGTTTCTTGGGCAGATGGATGGTGCAGGCTTTCTTGTAGACATGTCTCACACATTCAGTGTTGTAGCTCTCTAGATATTTTGCATACTTCAGAGTGAAACAGAGAAAGCAAGTTGGAAGAAGTGCAGAGAGGAAAGAGGACAAAGAAAAGAAAAGAAAGAGGCAGAAAAGACAATACATTTAACCTATAACTTCAGCTCCGAGACATGGTGAATTTCTTCATAGACAACATCGTTTTTAGAAATTTTCTGTGTAAACCCATCAGCACCTTCATGGAACCAATTAGATAAGATTCTGTAAGGTAGTGGGAGACGAGGAAGATGCAACGTAGTAGTTGGCAAATGCTGCAGTCAATTCTTGTGTGGCAAGCTGGCCATCCCCTAATACAACAGATACAGTCACATATCAACGTTACACGCAAAGAGAGTGCAGGACGTGCTGTGTCGTTGTGATTATCATCGTTGATTGGGGGAGTGCAGGGAAGTCGCAGCGCTGAGAGCCAGGTTAACGGTGACATTACCTTAGTCCAGAACTCCTCGTAGAGGGCACAGGCAATCAAGCATCGCTCAAACAGGACAACCACACGCTCCGGAGTTCCATTTTCAATCTCAAAGTCCAGGTATTCCTTCCAGTTGGTCAGCTGCGTCTTCTCTAAGGCTTTGACGTGGAAGTATGGTCGCTTGATCTACAGATGACACAAATAAACATTTGTTATTTCAAGTGGGAAGGAAGTGATATATAACTACAGTGAAGAAAAAGACAAAACACTCACCCCTTCTTCAAATGCCCAGCGTTTGCTGACTTCATGTTCATTGTGGTTGAACACTTCCTGCCGAACCTCAATCACTTTGTGGCGCATATTCTCAATCTCTGTCACTCTCTACATAAACACACAAACAATGCACACATTTAAAACTTCACATTTGTTGAATACTTTCTGCTTGATGTTAAAACTTCAAATCCTTCAGCCAAGGATTTACATCACCATGAGCTTGGCAGAGACAAGCCTGGAGAGGGGAGAGGGTAGAGTATGTTTGCACCGAGCATATCAACCTCTGCCTGCAGCTGCTGGGCAGGGGGCCTCAGATGATCCCTTTAGTTTTAAGGCGAGTCCCTGACTGGATGCCAACTTGAATCTCCTGGCATTCATTGGCTTGGCTGCTGACATAAAAACACCCCTTCAAACCTGATCAATGCCCCTTTTCTGTTTTGTTGTGATCACTGAGAACTGGTAACCCC